TATTATATTAATATAAAATTGAAATATTATAAATTTTAAATCAATATGACATAAGATTGGTCGAATATTAATATTAAAATTTTAAATATTAACAAAATATGGAAAATATAGTGTCTGAAATAATTTATAATGTAATTATATGCTATCACTTATAATATTAAAATATAATACACCAAAACGGGTTCTCTTCACATAAAATACAAAATAACCCGCTAATAATGAGGCTAATTCTAATTACCCTAAAGATTTTAATGTAACGCCAATGTGTGGGACTTTTATCATAAATCCCATTGAAGTTAAAATCTTCAGCTTCCAAAATTACGCTAGAGATTGCTAGACTACCTTCCTCTGACTATTAAAAGCTGTTTCCTCCTATTGAAACTAATTCTTTTGATTGTTTAAAATACGCAAAATCCTCGACATCTACTTTTTTAAGTATAAAAATTATTCAGTTTTCCCGAGTATCCCGGTAATATAAATATTTTAATTGATTTCATCAACATTTTTTTTTTCAAAAATTAAAAACTATTACACATCACTTTTTTAACTTTCACACTAATCAAAAAATACATATCCTCATTCTCAAATAAAATGAATTGATACTTTAGTACTGTTTTCTTTATAAAAGATTTCGTTTATTTTTTAAATATATAAGCTTTTTTTTTTGATCGACCATAAACTTTAAACAGCTATATCTCTTTGAAAATTTAATGAAAAATAACTTTATAAACAAAAAAAAAATTTTTATTTAAATAAATTTAATGGTATAAAAAAGTTAAGCTTATCATTAAAATATCGAAGGTTGATACTTAAGTTAATATAACCAGGAAATAAGAGATTGTAGCAGAAAATGTATTTTTTATGTAAAGCAGTTCAACAAAGGACCCTTTTTGTTAAAAAAATAATAAACAATTATTTCTAATATTTTTTCAATTATTTGTATAATAATAATAAATAACATTCAGTATTATTAAAATAAAGCATTATATTATACTTAATTTTTTGATAAAAGTATTAATTTTACACTACTTGAATAATATGATAGAATTTATTGGTAGTAAAAGATTTTTACTGTGATAACAAAGATAGAACTTAGAATAATTCAAATTACATTTATTATCTTAAATTTATGCATAAATTCGTTCGTTATACATTTCATAAACTGTAAAAATAAAATGTAGTAAAATATCAATAGAATATTCAAAATCAATATATGATTATACGAAAACTAGTGTATTTATAATATTCATACTAAATAAATGGTCATTAGGTAATACATAAAGATATTTTTAATGTTAAATTCATTTGTTGAATCAAATTTTTAATCATTATAATTTTACGATGTTATCAGAACATATGATTCATGTTTATTTTATTGAACCTAATTATATTATATTTTTATTTGAATACATAGGAAAAACAAATGAAATATTACTTAGAGTTTCGTCGAATTGTTCGCCGGTATCGTGACGACATTCATAATTAATTCATCATAATGCAGAGAAAAAGAAAAACTAGCTAAGGTGTTAGTTCGCAATCATTCTCGTACAAGTTTATATTACTCATCTGACCGCAAACGGGACTCATACCATCACCAGTGTCAAATAAGCTGCATCCTTTGCCATAATAAATTTGTCCTATGAATACAGAATGGGCTTTAACAACTTCTTTTCTTATATCTGTTCGTAATCGGTTCTGAAATGTACAATATAAACTACTATATTATAATATTTACAGTGAATATAATAGTACAAGAATGTACTTTTAACATGACATTTTAATAATACAATGAAACTTGGATGTTTGGTTTTATAAAAGTGAAAATTGTAAACTAATATTCAAAAATGAAATGAATTATGACTTTTTAACTTAAAAATTCTTAAACTTTAAAGAAACTTTTTGTAGAAAACTTCAAAAGGTTTTTTTAACAATAACTATTATTAAAATAAAAATTCTTTTGAAAGAAAGAGTAAAAAATGTTATAAAGCCAAACTCTTTATTGTGACTAAGCAATTGAAACAATCTAGGAAGTAAGTTTCAGAAATAATATTAATAGTAAGCTAAATGGAAAGCTATCATTATACTAAGCTCTGGGTAAAAATAAAAAAAGTGATAACCTTAAAGGTCAGCCGTCGCTTTAGTAGAACGGTAAACACTCATCTGATATTGCTGTTGGAACATTAACAAAGTGATAATAATGTATTCACGTGACGTATTCTACTAACAGTTATTCAAGATAATCATTTTTTAAAGTATTCTCCCTAAAAATTAAAAATATGTCAAAATTTACTGATAATATAAATTCTAATTTTTGGGAGGATTTCTCTATTCATAGAGAGCGAAGGAATTCTTTCAATTTTTTAGTATATTATATTTAACTAGATACAATTTTTAAACTTTCGACGTATCGTTGAGAAAAATAAGTTCTGCGAGAGCTTAGAGAAGTGGGCAACAAACACAAAAGAAACACATCATATTAAAATTTATTTATTTTCAACTCCGCATCAAAGTTGAAACTATTATTTATTGAACTGTATTATTTTTGACTTATACATATAAATGCGTAGCCCTATAAATTTTTACTATTAATTTCAATAGAATATTTTTTCTTCGAGAAAATCTTAGTTATTTCTCTTTGTGAAACGTTAATAATATTTTCAGAATATTATTAATTATTGTATAATCCTATAGGTCCTTGACATTTTCATTATCATATTATCTATTCATCTTTTATCATTATTCTTTACCACTAAGATAGTATCTTTTTTAATATAAACATTTTAAACTTTTAATCAAACTTTTGATCGTAATTTATTTTTGGATTATTTTTTACATTTACTTATAACTTATTTTCTCATTACATAAGTTTATTATAAACATATTAAAATATGGTAAAAATGTAAGTATTAAAATGTGTCAAACTCAAAAGAAATAAATAACAAAATATATTGGATGCATGTTGACTGAGATTTTCACAGTAATTTAAAAATATATTTTTTTAAAACTTTTTTTATATAAAAATTACATAAATCATAAAAAACACAAACAAAAATTACTAAACCAGTATATTTTTAACTTTATGTGGTTCATTCAGTCATCGCTTTAACACTGACATTTAGCTACGCTGTTTACGGTTCTCGGATGAGTGACCAAACGGAAATTTTAACAGTAGCACACTTACCTCATAGTGGCTTCCTAAATCATAATAAGATTGCTTCAAGTCGGCAGCTAAACATCCTGTTAAATCATTAAGATAGAACCGACCTTAAATAGTTAAAATACAAGATATAATGATTATGTATTTTTGATGCTTAATTTATTGGTTTAATTAGATTTGTCGTATATCACTAGGATACTCAGTTATTAAACTATGGAAAAAAAAAATTAAATCTTCTGTACAGAATTTAATTTCGATATATTGTTGCATACGTGGCAAAACCTTACATGTCGTATTTAACACTACCTTTTACGCATATTAGTTTCAAAAGGTTGAAATTTTTTGGTGAATTTTTTAAAACTAAAACTCGCTCTTACAGTAATTAGTGGTGTAACGAATTAATATTCCGATAGAATTTTTTTGGTAACGGGAGAATATTGACACAGTATAAGGGTTGTTAATAATAACACTAAAATGCAACACTGTGTTAAATATAACTGTAGAATCAGTTTATTTTATTTTTAATTATTATACTAATAATATTCTAATAGAGCAAAGTACATAAGAATACCATTCCAATACGAAATATGCAATTCGGAGGAACGTGCGGCGGATGTAAGTCACAGGTGAACAGGTTTACATAGTCGCCGACGCTTCTTGCGATGCTGAACCCTTGGACCTGTCCTATCTACTGCCCGCCGGACAGTACGAACATGGCGTTATCGTCAACACTAACGAGTACGACGGTGGACCGCTGGTAATAATGACCGATAATGTGATAATTCACAATAAATGAAAAGTGCGTCGGCCCATGTCAATATTCTTGAAAATACTGTTCTGTAGATCACGGAAGATCATGATCTTTAAATAATTGAATTATATTATTTCTTTAAAAATATTTATTCAAACTTGATGATTATTTGACGTAATGAATATTTATTGAAAGTTTATGATGGAAAAATTAATCATTTTTTACTTGGTTGATAGTTGCATGCCGAGACGAATTTAGAGTTTTGACGCCCTAGGCACAATTTTAATGCCACCCACTCATACCCCCCCTCAATTTTTTTATCAATATTATCTATGGATTTACGTGGTTAACTTTTGATGATATTATCATGAAATATAAAAATTGCGGTGTAGCTGATATCCAAAATCTTAAAAATTTTTCAATTGACGAATGAAAATGGATGATGGATTATGGAAACGAAAAAATGCTGCATCCTCTTAATTCCAAAAATATTTGTTGCCCGAGGCAATAGTATACCCTCGTCAATGAGGGTAATGACAAAATTATCAAAAATCTCTAAAAAAATATTTTTATTATACAAAGATTAAAAAGGTATCCTCCCAAAAAATGCTTCATTGTACTGGCATCTAAAAGTTTCCAGTAAAAAAAAAAATAAATATATATACATTTTTATTCTAGGAAAAGATTATTATGGGAATTTTTTATCATTTTCAGTGATAAACTTAAATCCGAAACGGTTTTTATTTCAACAAAAGATTTTGTAAAATTTAACTAATGAGGTTATATCAAAAAACTGATTTTATAGAATAATAACTTTTTTCTCAGTTTTCAAATGTATAATTTCATAGTATTTAAATAAATATTTTTTCAATGTAACCAATATTGAATATTACTCAGTTCAATGCAGCATAATGTAGTATAATGTAAATTGATTGGTGTAAATAAAAATTATTTTCGAATTGAGTGTTTATTTTTATTAAATTTTGCTTATTAGAAAAATGTTGTGATTACTTGGTTGAAATTTTCAACGGTTCAGTGAAAACTTAAACTTTTTATAGAACATATTTTTATAAAAAATAATGGCAGCAAAAATATCAAATATATAAGTTTTATTATTTCACGAGTTCACAAAAATTAATTGTTTTAATCAATTAAATTAAAATAATTGTAAATCCTAACTTCTTCGTGCTTTTTTTCTTTTAGACATTTTGGGTTTTTTAGGTTTTGTAGGTTTTGCAAATGGTCCACTAGGAAGATACCACCTAGTCGAACTTTTGTATGTAAGTATCAATTTCTTCAGTTCTACAAAAAATTTTAGCATTAGTTGAATAAGTTAAAGATACAAATATATTTGTAATATATGTATATATTATAACTTTTTTAAAGGAATTTTAACGAACTAAGGAATCATAATATCATATCAAAGGTACATTATCAGTGATTAATTATTGAATCACCATCATCAATGGTGATAATCATTAATCGATAGCTAATAAATCTTAAATCGATGACAAATTTTGTTAGTCCACTTTTTTAAAAATCATTTTTATTTCATTAGATAAATACTAGTTGTGTTTTTTGTTATGCAGTAGATTAAAAATTAAATATTACAAGAACACATTTATAATTAACTATATATATATACTTATAATTTTCTGAATAATGGAATAAGTCCTAAATTAAGGGTTAAGTCTTATTAAATATTCTTCTAGTTCTGACTTAAATTTTTATGCAGTATAATATAACAATTCTGAGTCTTATTATTTTTGTCTAAAACATTGTTACCAGTTTTAGACGTATTGAGCCCAATGGAACAACTATAAAATGCTTGTATGTTTTCTGAGAAAATAAATAATGTGTCCATTATAAATATCATATTTAAATTGAAAATAACCTTCATAATTATGTTTAAAAACATTTATCAGACTAAAAGTAGTTGACTACATTATCTTGAGAAAATTTTGCAAATAGATCAATAATAATACAGATTACTCATGAATTGTTAAAAAACAATTTTATTGAAATGTTATCTTGGGCGCTACAACTTTTGACCTCTTACCCTTTAGTGATTTTTAATTATCAAAATTTATTTCTTATAAACTTGAATAATTACGGGACGCCTAATTTTGTAATTCTATTAATTTAAAAATTAATTTTAGGTAGTTCAATGAAGTTCAAATATATTTCATCTATTGAAAATTCAATCATGCCTGTAAATTAGATAGCTAAGTGGTGGAAAAACGTTAGAATGTTTGGTTAATAAATATACAGAGTATGTATTTTATTCTACAGAAAATCGTAACTACAAAAATACAAAAAAAAAAAAATTAAAATCGGATAAAAATTTAAGACTTTAGTTCTACCTACCTTCATAACTAATTTGACATATAACGTTTTCTAAGAAATCGATTGCTTCTTGTTTAGTAATAGTTGATATATTTGCATTCGGAGCCGGATATAATACTGCATCTTTCATCTTCCTAATTAACTCGCTATCAGTATTTTCCTTTAAACAACATTATTTATACTTTATTTATACAATATAAATTATACATAAACATAAACTAAAGTTGATAACTGTACAAATTTTTTCATAATGTTTGATTTAAAAATTTATAATGTTGATTTATTGATTAACATTTAATTTTTAAAAATTATTACTAGGCTTCGCTTTGACAAGCCCTTTGGGTTGTACATACAGGTAGGCCACTGATTCAGTAGTAGTACCGGCTACGCCGAGCACGATATGTATATTAAAAAAAAGTATAACTCCAAAAGCATATTACCAGAAAATTATTCTCACTTGTATATTAAATAATATTTTAAAAAATAATATAATTCCTACAAAATACTTAGGTTATGACACGGCCCCCGTCGCTTCGTTATACACGATGCCCCGCGACTCGTGCCACCTTTATCAGCCGTCGCCCTACTATGAGTATATGACTGACCAACACCGCGTGTTATACGCTACGGTGCAAAGTCCAGCAAATGCCGCACGGCCGACAACGACCCGCCGCAAAGGGTGCGGGAGTCTTCCTCCCGTTGTGAAAGCGACAACGCCGACCAACCGAACCGCACCCGCGCACCTTCGCCTACAACGCTGCTACCCATTTTGCCGTCCAAGGATTACATCGCGTCGTCGACGCCAGCGAAAGTGCCGCGATATTAAGCGAAGATTATTATTACTGTGTTTATCTTTTCGGTTTGTTTTATTTTTGTTAAAATAATCTGTTGTCGCTCATTTAATAAACGGCCCACGGGTCTCTACCCTCAAAACCAGTGTCGACCANAACGGCCCACGGGTCTCTACCATCAAAACCAGTGTCGACCATATTTTTGCGACGTAAGTCGACACGACTTACGTCGCACTGACACAGTTATTATTCAAAACAGATAGACGAAAAAAAACTGAACAATCATTAAAAACAAACTTTAAATACCATTTTATTAGCGATAGTACGTACACTAATATAAAAAACGGTAGCACAGTGGGATTGCGGTACAGTGTAGACTTGGTATAGTTAGGATAAGTATAGATGATATCCGACAGTGATTAAAATCACTATCAAAAGAAACGCTTCGATGCAAATGTGTAGATAGTGTTTAATGTTAAGAAATTGGTGGATTATTCCAAAATAATTATTATTTCCTTTATTATTCCTCTTTAGTAGTTTTAGCTTCGATGTTGATTTTACAATAACATGTTAATTTTTTTTTTTGTGTGTGTCTGTCACTACTTTTTCTCACCTAAAAATCACATATCGTATCTAGTTGAAGAAATTACCCTCAAAAATTGAAAAATTTGTCCTCGTTCCCTATAAATAGTAAAAATCCCCAAAAAAATTACGATTTTTAAAATTGGTAAATTTCGACAATTTTTTTAAACTTTATCTGAAAATTTCCATAACTTATTGAAAAATGAACGAATCAAAATAATTCTTTTTTATATTAAAAACATATATATTTTTCTGTCATTTGATATAATTTTTTTAAAAATATGACCCTTTATCTGCTTACAGAGGGAGATTCAAAATAGCAACTTCTGCACAAAAATTTTAATTTTTCAACTTAAGTTTTGAAAATGTTCCTGAAATACTCCGAGCTTCAATGATATGCTAAAATAAAGCTAATGTTATGTATTATAAGTTCAAAAAAAAATTTGTTCCGACTTATCCTCTGTGTGAAAATGGTCGATTTAGGTAAAAAAACATGCAATTTTAGTTAAAAAATTTACGTTTCAAATTTTATTTTTTCAACTTTAATTTACTAAAACTTTTTGAAAAATGTATGAATCAATACATTTGATTTATAAGTGTAATATATGAATAAATATTTATTATAGCAATTAAATATAGTATGAAATTAATATTTAAAACGGTAGCACAGTGGGGTCGCTTCACAGTGTGAGTGTGGCTAAGTTGGGACTAATATAATTGATATCTGACAGTGATTAAAATCACTATCATAAGAAAATTTTCTATGCAAATCTGTAGATAGTGTTTAATTTTAATAAAATTGCTGGATTATTGAAAAGCAAAATTCTAACTTAATTACGAAGAAATTGCAAAAAAAAAATCATTTCCACGGGCAATTTTAAAGAATTTTTTGCAAAATTTAGCTATTATAAGTTCAACAAAATTAAAATCGTTTTCTTTTAACGTATTGGTATTAAAATTGGTTAAGTGAGAGCTCAGAAAAATGAATGACTGACACAAAAATATACTACATAGTATTATATTTTTATATGAATAAGAAAGTCCTTCTCACAATGGGAAACTACAATGGTGGGTTCCTTGATATTAATTGAAATTATTCAATTTAAATAAGATAAAAATCAAACGAACCCTGAATTTTTTTCCACCTCAAAGAAAGAATTTAGAAAAAATACAAAAAAAGTTAGTTCAATTTCGTACCCCAGCATATAAAACTGTATTATATTAGACGCAGCCACTGACATGATCTCCTACATAATCTACGCTTACATCAGCTGTCCTCATATCGCATTCAATAGCATCCCTCCATCTCTTTTTTGGTCTTCTTCTACCTCTTCTTCCTTCAACATTCATTTCTATAACTGTTCTTATAGCCTCCTATTCTTCTCTCCTCATAACATGACCAAACCATCTAAGTCTATTTTCTCTCATCTTATCCACGATTGACACTATACTTATTCTATCTTTTTTAGTCACTCCGCGCATCTATCTAAGCATTCTCATCTTTGCTACACTCTTCTCCGCTATACTTTCTTATCATAGCTGGCCTTATTACAGTCTTATAGAATTTACTTTTCAGCCTCATTTGAATTCTTTTATCACATAAGACGCCAGATGCTTTTCTCCACTTCAACCATTCTCACTTAATCCTGTGTCTTACATCCTCGTCAATACCACCGCTCCTTTCCACAACTGATCCTAAATACTTAAAACTTTCGACCTCTATCACGTCCTCACCTATTGTCACTGATCTCATTTCACCTACCTCGTATTCTCCTTTGTCAAACTCGTATTCTATATACTCTGTTTTACTCCTACTAATTCTTAATCCCTTTCCTTCAGAACTGATCTCCATACCTTAAGCCTTTGATTAATTTCCTCTCTATTTTCTTTTATTAATACTATATCGTCAGCGATCAACATGTACCAAGACACCACTCTTTATATTTCTCTCGTGATTTCATCTATTACTATAGAAAATAAGGTAGGGCTTAAAGCAGAACCTTGGTGCAGTCCTACTATTACGCTAAAATTTTCTGCCAGGGTAAAACCATAGAATGCATAGATTATTTTTTCTTCATAAATTAAAAAAATGTTTAAATGTCATGCATTTTGTCTAAAAATAATTTATTCCCTCATCAATTTGTTATATTATAAGTTATTTTTAATAAAAATATGATCATACTAACTTACATCATGACTACAAGTCACCATAATATCTACGGCTTCTAAAAAAAAAATCAATATAATTTAATCTTGACCTATTTTGTGAATTATATATTTAAAAATATATATTTTTTTTTCTACAAGAATTTTGATAATACAAATATAGTTTCTATGAATATCAAACATTATTAGTATATTCATTACTATTATATAGTATAAAGAAATAAATACTAACAATAAAACAAAAAGCTAAATAATTATGTGAATAAATTTTATTTATTCTTACGTTTACATAAGATGTTATCTCTTGCATAATCATTTATTAGTTCATATACTTTTTCTTTTTCTATGAAATCGTCTTTAAGATGTTCTTTACCGTAATTGTTTAATTTTTTCTCAATAGTTCTAAGGGTTGTACATTTTGCTTTTACTAAATTTTCAAAATCGACCATCTCATCCTCTAAAAATTAGATATTTTTCCTTATTTTAGAAATTTGTATAAATTCATTCAGAATCAGTTTATATTAGTTATAACATGGGATGGGCCGAATATTCGAAAACTATTCGGCTATTTTTTCAGGAGTAATTTTTATTGGCTTATTCGACGTTACTTATAACTATTAAGTTAAATGTTATTTAACCGAGTTAAAAAAAATTAGTAAAATTTAAATTAAATTAAGTAATTTTTTTTTTAGAATGATTTCTATACAGAGTTATACATTTACATATAGCACTCAATTAATGGCAAAATAATTATAATATTGATAAACAAAATTTTTAATTTTAGCTCCAATATATGACCGAGAAGCTATTGGTTTTATTCTGAAGCGTTATTTTTTTTTGTTTATAAATAATATCAAATTAAAGATATTTTAATGTAATATATCATACAAAAAAAAAAAAGAAATTCCGGTAACTTGTCTCCAATGAATATTCAACCTTTAGTCAAAACCCATGTAATTTTTTGTAGATATGTTACATTTTTTTTTTTCAATATGTTTTAAATACTTATTCAATCGTTTAAAGTCAGTAATTTTAATAACTGTCAGATATCAATAAATATTAATTTAATAAATGTTTTAACTTCACTCTCCTGTAACCTTCTAGTGTACATTATGTTTTTAATTACATATGTATACTTGTTGATTTATTAGCTACTCATTACATTTTAGTATCATTCCTTATAACTAATAGAGGTGTCAAATTATTTTTTTAATTGAGAACATACATATTAAACTAGATTATAAAATAGGAAACAATCAAATTAAAGAAGTATTTTGGAAGTTATTATCATTTTAAGTATTGACTGGAAATAAAGAGTGGATTCTGCTATTTTTATAATTAAACATTTCCCAACCGTACTCTTTATCTCACTTAGATATAAATATGTCTATAACTTCCGAAATACTAATCCAAAAATTGTTATCGACCAGTCATTTTTATAATTAGATCATTAGCTATTAAATTAATTATTTAATTAGGAGTGTTGCAATTTGTAAAATTAAAGTTGATACCCTTTTAAAATATAAGAGATGAACATAAAATTAATTTATAGTTGAAAAATTAAATGAAACTAGTAGCTAATAAATCAATAAAAATATGTAACTAAAAAAAAATTTCTCAACATTATGAAAAATATTGTATTTTTTCTTAAATAAATACAATATTTTTGCTTATTACTTTGTTCACTTTCTATGATTTTAAGTATTTCTTGGTCATTTTGACAATTCTTTTCATTGATTTCTTTTGCTTTAGAAACCTCAATATTGCCTTCGTTATCAGCAAATGGACTGAATAAGTCTTTAAGATACACTTCAGTAGTATCCGTAATTGGAGTATCCGATTCACTCGAATTCTAAACATGTAGAACCAATATGTTGAAATTATTATTTTACACTTTAAATAATCATATATTATATGTTATGTATTAATTCATCACAAACCATTTAAATAATCGAACAATAAAAATAATATCGAGAATAATTTTGGTGACTCAAAGATACACATTTTTTTTCAATCTATCAAATTATTAAAAAATATTTTTTTGTGCTTCCCTTCAATTTAGGTCGGAAAATAACCAATGATAAATAAAAAAAAAACTAATAGAAATTAAAATTATCTGAATATAATTTTTGTTTTCGATCAATCAACTAATTCATGATGTAGAATTACTCTGTATAACGACACCTAATAATATAAATGGAAGAACTATCTGATACATTAGTTATATTGTAATGCCATTTAAAATTAAAATTATATTAAACATATTAATTTAAAACTAAACAGTATAAAAATATTTAACTCAAAAAGCCACAAAAAACTCTAAAAAAAATCGCAGATTGGTATTTTGGGAACAATGTTACCATTATGTATGCAAAACACATACTGACACCATCACCAATATAAATGGCCTTAAACACCCCTAGTGACCTTATCACTAAAAAATTTTATCGTATATTGCCAGTATAAACAAATTTAATTATGAATTTTCCTTTTTTCTTTTTGTTTGTTCTATGCATCATTTATTCAACATTCCCATTATTTTTTATAAATTCCCGCGTTAGAACAACAGTAACTTTGTTATCTACAATATTTAGTTAAATTCTATATAAAATTTTGACATTGATTCGACAATTAGTCCCAGATTATTAATCATGATATATAGTTTTTGAGATATTTATTAGTTAGTAATTAAATGATAATCTCACAATTAATCATTGTAAAAAATAAAAAAATAATTTTGTATTAAATATTTTTACGTAATTTGATGACGATGCAAAAGAGTTGTGTAGGATATGAGGATATTTGTCAAGTTTAACCATTTTATAGAACTTAAAATTTAAAAATTATTTTTCAGAAAAAAACAATCTTTCATTCTAAATACTTTTATATTTATATCATAATTATGACATTTCTACCAATATATAAATATAATTATATTGAAAATTCAAAAAAATATGTATGGTTTTTTTTATTTTTAACACGCTTATATTAGTTTCACATGTATGTTGTTTGTATGTTGTAAGTTTGTAACTCCACGCGGCACGTGTTATTATGTCGCGTATCCCGTCGTGTATGACCTTGAGACTATACTGTTGTAACGCATTCTCCCCACCCCGCTCACCACTCGTAGAGAACAATATTTTCCAACCCGTAGACGCGCGCTTATCATCAATTATATATATATATATATATAACAAATTNTTGTAAGTTTGTAACTCCACGCGGCACGTGTTATTATGTCGCGTATCCCGTCGTGTATGACCTTGAGACTATACTGTTGTAACGCATTCGCCCCACCCCGCTCACCACTCGTAGAGAACAATATTTTCCAACCCGTAGACGCGCGCTTATCATCATATATATATATATATATAACAAATTTTTATTGTAATTGACACAGCCCCGCGACGTTTTACGCCGCGGTGCAAAGTCCAGCAAGTGCCGCACGGCCGACGACGTCCCGCCGCTATACCGTAGTCTTCTTCCCATTGTCAAAACAACATCGTCAACAAACTGATCCGCACTCGCACACCGTCGTCATCTACGCTGCTAACCTATTGACGCCCGAGGATCACGCCGGACATCGCGTCTTCGACGCCAGCAAAAGTGCCGCTACATTAAGCGAAGATTATATATTCCTACCGCCACTGCTAATATTAATATTAATATATATGTATATATTAATATTTATACGTATATGTTAATATTCATTTATATATTCCTACAGCCGACGCCTCTGCTGCCGTATATGCCTCGTGTATAATGTTCCCTCCGCCATGCCTGCCCACATAAACACGGCTATACCTCATGCATGATACGTTACGTACTTAAGTCCCTCTAAATATATNACGTACTTAAGTCCCTTTAAATATATATATATTCTATTTACTATTAAAACTACCTCCACTACCTCCACTACCTCCACGTTACGCGCCTGCTGCTTTCCTTGGATGTGGTAGCCGTTTCTTAGACTCCCTCTCCGGAATCGAACCCTTATTTCCCGTTACCCGTTACAACCATGATATTGATATTAACTACTATCATAACATGAAACTAAAAAGTGAAAAATAATTNGTCATGACATGAAACTAAAAAGTGAAAAATAATTTTTAGTTTGATGTGCTTTAAAAGCGTGTTTTTTTGTTTTTTTAAACTATATTTTTACATAGTGAATAACAGAGAAAAACGCAATTATATAAAAAAATATATATAGATCTCAAAAAGACGTAAAAAATTTATTTTATTTTTATAGACTTTTTAAGAACAATTTTTGTAAGTAATAAAATTAAATAAATTTTTATATATTTTTTTACACAACTCTTTTTCAACATCATCTAAATAATTAAAAATGTTTTTAAATTTTTTACATTGGTTAATTGTTTGAATCAATAAAACATACATAATCTTTAATTTTTAGAAAAGTTTTATGGCACATAACATCTAATGTATTCAGGACGTATACAGAGTGATTCTTTTAACGCTAACCATTTGATTTCTTTTCAAGTAGTCAATATGTTAAGGAAATTATTTTTGGTATTTTTTAATATCATATATTTCTTGGTTTATGAGTTATTAATTACTTTTTTAATTCATACTCTATAACTTATATGGGTATATTTACAGCACTATTTTTTTAATTATAAAGTATATTTTTTACTGGCTTATAAATTAGGAAATGATTTAATTAAGAAAATTATTAAACAATAACAATTTTTAGACCAGTATTTTGGAATTTGTTAACATTTTTAAGCCTAGACAGAAGGAGGGTTGTGGCCAAGAAATATCTAATAATAAAAATTGTTATACATTCGCTACCAAACTATATATTAAAATAGTAATAACTTTCAAAATAATAGGTTTAAAAATATTATCGACCAGTCATTTTCTTAATTTATCATTTTCTGACATTAAATCTATTAAAATATAAGTATGTCATCATTTAAAAAAAGAAAAGTTGATACCACTATAAGAGAAAGATATGAACCTCTTAAAATATTTATCCATTTAAAAATTGAGAAATAAATATTATAAAACAATGTCAAAAAGTTCTTTATATTGTTATTTTAGAAGAAATAAAGTGGTAAACTATAAATCAATCACTCTATATATTTACTCCATTTGAATTAATATAATACTTTTATGCAATATTTTTCTAAAAAAAAAAGTAAAAAAAATACTAAACCTCTTCAATTGTAGTAGTATCAATTGCAAACGCAATCATACATTGTAAAAATATAACAATTAATGTATAAAAGTTCATTTTGAAATTAAATTTTTATAATAATGGTTACTTTTTATAAAAATTTAACAATCATAAAGTGTAAAACTTACCTCTTTAATTAAATGGATCAAAAAAGTTGTATTTTATATAGTTTAGTATGTTTGTAGACGGTAACCAATTGTTAAAACAATATAATATATCAATTAACATTTAAAAATATTCGACATAATAAATAATGAGTATCTAAAATTAACTTATTATTAAAAATTCTATTTAGTTAGGTGATTTTTTTGTTATTTTAATCTACCAAACCCTCAAACGTTCAATATTGCAGTTGAAAATTTAATTATTATACGTAGTAATCCCTTATAATTTAAAATGTTGTTAGCTCTATTTTTTTAAATGGCAACATATATATTTGACTAGTTTATAAAAGAGGAAATAATCTAATTAAAAAAATGAAAACTTGTGAACCAGTATTTCAGAAGTTAATAAATATTTAAAGAAATGACTGATAATGTGGAGTGGGTACTACTATTTTTATCACTAGTCATTTCCCAATAATACTTTTCGTCCCGCCTAGATATAAAAATGAGAATAACTTCCTAAATACTGGTCTAAAAGTTATAATTTTTTCGGAAATTCAAAAAAGTCGTATTTTAAAGCAAATTTTACAAAAATGTTGAAGAGTCAATAATAACTTTGTTAATTATTGAGTAAGAAGCTATTTGATACATTTAGTGGTTATGTGTAGAGTGGTGGGTGGAGATCGTACTGGTATACATTTAGACCGCTTATTCCACCCAGGCTATATGTCTACTTATGTATTACAATGTTTCTAAATTAATAAGAATTAATAATTAATTGTTATCTATATATTAATATATTTTACAAAAGAATGTTAAATTATTGTTTGACAGTATGATTAAATTCTGATGCTTTAAATTATTCGAGACAAAAAAAATGTTGCATAATAATATGGCATAATAATGCCATTTACTATTGAATTAAAAACTCAAACATTTTATTAAATTAAAAATATGTGTTACCATTAAAAAAAACAAAGTTGACCCCCTTCCAAGACATAAGGGATGAACTTAAAAAGTATTACATAGTTAATAATTCAAGAATAATGTGTAACTAAAGATAATGAAAAAAAAAATGTTTAAATTATTATTATTCTGCAAGTAATTGAGTGGGTTATGATAAAAAAATCAGCCTGTATATCAAAGCTAATTTATTTCAGTTTTTATGGTCAATTATTTATTTTACTGATGATTCATCAAATTANGCCTGTATATCAAAGCTAATTTATTTCAGTTTTTATGGTCAATTATTTATTTTACTGATGATTCATCAAATTATTTTCCGATAGAAATTAAAATTTTACCTAATATAAAATAATTATATTTCTTTATTCACATAATATAATGATAGATCAAGATACTGTTTGTAAATAAATGTCATTATTAACCTCAGTTATTATTAATTAATAAGTAATTAAAAATCTCGTAAAAATTTCAAAACCCGGTAATAACGTTCGCGGTGATACTTTGTTAAGGCTGTCTTTAATTTGATACCAAAGTAGAGAAAAGTAAACCAATGTAGCAATCACATAAAAAGCTTTTAAACCTAATTAAATTTTTATAAATAGTAGTTAAAATTGTTTTATATATATATCACTATTTTAAAAAAGGGTGGTATTATCCTTTATGCGGCTAATTCCAGTTAGAATTTTAATTTGAAAAAATTACGTGTCATTTCATACTTTATTATTTTAATTTATAGTTAATCTATATTTCTTATATATTTTTTTAACTTGGTTAGTATATATTTTAAAATAAAATATATATGTCAATTATTATAGATTTTATAGCCAATTTTCCTTAAATGAGCACTATTCATAAGGTACAGTTACCTTCTTCATTATTAATAAATAGTAAAAATAAATGATTTTAATTTTTAATACATAATTTTTGTTAATAGCGGCAAAAAATTATGAAACACTTATATTAAATATATTATTAATTACGAAAAATATTGTTTATAATTTATTTGAACAATACTATTAGTTTAAAATGTATAATAGTCATCAAAAACATGTTGATTATATATTAATATGATTAATATGATATATTTTATTATACATCATAAAAATTTACAACATGACAAATTTTTCTGTAAAAACGACTCTTAATTAGTTGATTTTAATTGCAATTATATAAATAATTAAGACAAGTAAAATAAAACTTAAACTTCAAAATACACAACATAAAATTTCGTATTTAGCATATTGGTTTTATAGTAAATAAATTTACAGGTTGCATAGATATTCTTAGGATCTTTTCAAAAAGATATGCTAATGTTAGAGAAATTATGAGCTCTGCTCATAAATTAGCTGTTAATAACAGCCTGTTATAATTACAATTCTATAAATTACTTTCAATTTATTAATTACATCGATACTATACAAGTAATATAATTGTTTTGTGTTATAATAACTATTTAAAAATCATTATAAGTAAGTTTTTATTTTTAATTTTCAGATTAATTATAACGGAATTAAAGCTAAGCACACAAAGAATATGCGATAAAACAAAAAATAATATATTAATATACAAAAACATATGGTAAACTTAATAAATCAAACTTCATAACAAAAATAAATAAGTCTAATTTTAAAAGAAAGAATATCATAGAATGGCTTATACATACATTTTCGAATAAGAAAATCTGTTAGGCCCCCTTGCACCCTCGGTTAATACTGCACTGCTACTTCTTAATGATGGTGAATTTAATTAGCTACTAGCTTAAAATTATAGGAGGTCAAAAATCATTTTTATCAATTGAATAATTTTTTTTTAATAGAAAGACTATTTTTAAGTTTTTTGTAGCAACATTTGTAACAATTTATTGAATACTTGTCGACTAAAACATTAAATTTTTTCAATTACATGGGTATCATACCCTCGTGGCAACGCGTGGCTCTCTCAAGATGGCTCTCTTTATTAGTCATTTATACATTTTTTTTATAAAATATAATGATTGTCGATGTTTTAATTATTTTTTGAAGAACGATAAAAATGATAAACGTTATGAGTTTAAAATTGTATTCTATGTAGATACGACACTGGATACTTGTGTCCCTATTATAAAAAATTAGATTCTGCTAGATTGACAATATTCGTACATTTTTCATAATAATAAACAAATGGGCAAAAATAATCATTTTATTGAAAATGTATTATAAATAAGAATAAAGCAAACAGTGTTGGAATGTTTTTAAATATACCATTGTATTTCTGAAGAATAATTTATGAATTTTTTTTAAGGTGATATATATTTAACATTTTTGAATAACATGCAAATATAATTTAAATATAATTTACATTACATTAGTATTTCTATTCTAAATTTATTTGAAAAACTATCTAACAACTACTACAGTTTTATATAAGCGAGAAAAAAATTAGAACAATTCTTCAATATTAATCAAAATGGCAGCATTCATTACAGATTTTAGAAACGCGATCCAACCCAAATTATATATGTAAAAATTTAGGCCCGATACAATCTGGCTCAAATAAAAAAATAATAATAACGAAACCCGATCTAATTCAAAATTTACGTTTTCAGGTCCGTCCGACCTGATCTAAATTTATGTGAAAATGTTATGTCCGAAAAAAAAAATTATTTAAGTCCGATCCGATCCATTCAAAAAATAATATGATTGTAATTAAAGGTTTTAATTTTTTAAGTTTCATTAATTTTATTTTATATTCAAAAAAAATAGTCGTTATTATAATATTTTTTTATAATTCGCACAAACACATATGACTTATAAATGAGTGATAAATCATGAGTGTTTTATCTGACCCGATGCGACCCAGTCCAGTTCATTTTAAATTGAGGCCCAATCATGTCCATTCTATTTTTAATTAAGTTTCGATCCGGCCGGTCTAAAACATGAAATTAATATTGTGGCTCGACCCGACTTTTGAATACGAATAATTTTGAATTGGATCGAGCTAGCACAGCCTGTACTGATCTATTCTCTTCATCTACTTTAAGGAAAATTCGCAATAAAAAAGTATATCAATAGGAATTAAATATTGGTTTATATGATGAAAAAGTATAAACTAGTCCATTGCCAATATCTCTATTAGTTTTTCATCAAAAATTGATAGATTACCAAAATTTAATTTCTGATGGTATTAGAATTTATGTGTTGCTAATCTACCTATGATAAGGGCAATGACGCTCATGATCTTATAATTTACTTATAGCAATATAGAATAGCAAAATTATCTTTATGAAAATAAATTTATGATATACAAATAAGTTAATAATATTTTATTTATCCTAGTATCATCTTCTAATATATCTCTAACAATATTATTTTTATTCCTCAAAAATTTTTTTACACGTTTGCCATAAAAGCAACAACTACTTTATAATTTTATATTAATTCTCCAAAAAAATTATAATACTAAATTATTAAATATCAATCTAATACTATATTTAATTGTTATAATAAATATTTATTCATATGTTATAGTTCTAAATCAAAAAACTACTAATCAGGAACAATAAAGGAAATAAAAATTAATTTTGTTTTTGGAATAGTACACAAATTTGTTAAAATTAAACAGTATCTACAAATTAGCATCGAAACGTTTCTCATGATACTGATTTAATTCACTGTCAGATATCATCTATACTTGTCCCAACTATGCCACATCTATACTGTTTTACAGTAATTTTTTAGCGAAAACCTTTTTTTTTACTTTAGGGTATTTGTTTACAGTAATCAGTTCCAATATAAATAGTGCATAAATATTATTTTTCTAAGTTATACGTTAATTAAAACGTATTGTTAGTAGGTTTAAGCTATGTACTCACGTTTATCCAAAAACATAACTTCAGTTGTACAATGAAACATTACTTACCTTTAATTTTTCAGGACGTAGGATGTAATGAGGGACGAGAGTATACTATTGCCTCGGGCAACAAATATTTTTGAAATCAAGAGGATGCAGCATTTTTTCGTTTCCATAATCCATCATCCATTTTCAATCGAAAAATTAAAAATTTTTAAGATTTTGGATAGCAGTTACTCCACAATTTT